GAAGTTAACAGGAGACACTGGTGCCATGCCTTTCATACTAAGAGAAAGAAAGGGTTCTGACTAAGAAGAAGAATATCCGTTCTTGACGGGGATGATAAAGTTATATCCCCATCCACCCACAGTGTCAGTGTCCTCACTAAAAGACATCTGAGCAAACTGTCAGTGAATCACTGCAACATTTTAAAACAGAGACAGTAAAACATACTAAAATCTGCTAAGGATCAAACACAGGCACCTCTGAACAACAGGAAAAAAAAAAAAAGAGAATGTTACAATTTATTAACTTTGCATTCAAACGGCGCACAACTTGGTTCACCCTTCTCAATCACCAGTTTCCACGATGCAGAGAAATCCTAGGAACACTTGAACAAAATCCAGAAAAGGTTTTTGGACATGTTTGGCCGAGGTCAGCTAAGATAAACATGAGTGCCAAGGCACTCACCTTCGGGAAAAGAAGTAATTTCGTTTCATGATTTCTGTCTCTTCCATCACACAATTAATTCTGTAATGTGGAAACCTACATGAAAGCCACCTTTTCACACATCAAGGAAAGCAAAATACCTACTTATTTTACAGTTCTCAGAACATATCAGGAAATAGCCTCAAGCTACAGAAGGAGAAGTTCAGGAACAATTTCTTCACTGAAAGGGTTCTGAAGCCTTAGAATAAGCTGTCCAGAGAAGTGGCAGTCAACATCCCCAGGGTATTTAAAAGTCATGTAGATGTGGTTCTCAGGAAGAAAATTTAGTGGTAGATTTGGCAGTGCTAGGTTAACGACTGGACTTCATGATCTTAGAGGTCTTTTCCAGCCTAAATGATTCTACGTTCTTCCAGAATTTAACTACTGACAACATTCATACACAACTTTTAATTTCACCAGTGTATTGGCAAACTTCTCTTTCAGGAAGTTTCCTTCCTTAGCACTTCTGTAAGTTCAACAAATTGCACAGCATCAGCACAGTAAAGTTAATAGCTGTTTCATTTTCCTACTGCAGTCATACAGTGACAGAAAGCTTCATGAAAACAAAACAGCACTTTGTTAAACATTGCTAGAGAACAAGAATCAGTTAAGACTGAAAGAACATTTACCTCTGCACCAACTATAATTCTTCGCAAAGCTCAAAACAAGTTCTAGATAAAATAAACAAATGGAAACTAATATAGGTTGGTATGTTTAGCAATGAGGATTAGTACATTAGTTTAAGAACCAACATACTAGTTAGCAAAATGAATCCATAAGAAATAGTTCTAAAAACTTTCTGTCCCAGCTTTAGAGGGTGAATAGCCTTATTTTCATAATAGAATACTTCTATGTTTTGTCTCAAAACATGTAAGGACATTTTCTTCAGATTCCACACGCACCATTTTTATAAACTGGCTATGTCCTATTAAGAAATAGAATGTTCCAAACCGGGGAAAACTGGATGGAAGTGGGTCAAAGGCTCCAGTGATTAAGCTGATGTTGAAGAAAAGGGAAGAAATAGGTGGGCACTTGACCATCCTAGATACCACTGAACATGCCCAAAGAGGCATTAGCACATATCTAGAGTCCTTGAAAGAAAATGAATATGTATGCCAATGCACTGTGTAGGTATGTCTTAACTGTTCAGATGTAGAACCTGAACTCTAAGAGGGTGTGCTTGTCATGTTGCCCAGTGCACATGTGAAGAATAAAGAAATGTCACTTTCTAACACCACATTGGAATTAAGACTTTTCTTCACAGATTTCAGATGACAATGGCTTCTAAGAAGCAAACTGATACAGAAGGTGTCAAAAGGGTCAAATGCTCATTTGAAGAGCTCCTGTCTCTGTTTCAAGGCAAGCTGAAATACACCTAGATCACCTCTGATAAGACCATCCCATTGGTTGTTCAAAAGGAATTAGAAATAAAAAATTCCAGCTACTCACAAACCCTGAGACAGGAAATGAAGTTGTCCAAGACTGACTTCATGACTTGTTCTCTCAGTGTGCAAGAATCCCACCTTAATTTCCTCCACATCTAATTGAGCATATTGCTTCTTGCTACAAGACAAAGAACTGGTACATAGTTAAGCTTCTCATCAGTTTTCTCACAACAGAAGAATGCACGTCTGTCATCATTTTTAACAGAACTGTTCTTCAGCTTGAACAGTACCTCCAAGCTGTCATCACAAGCCACGTTTCCACATCCTCTGCATCCCTCTGATCCCATCCCAGTTCCTTTAAGAGTTTTCTAAGAAGCTAGCACACACAGCTCAGTTTCTGTTGGAACAGCCCCCCAAAAAATAAATAAATAAAATCTTTAATATGTGAATAAGCATTCCTAAATTCACTTAGCCTGCAGACTTCTTTAAACCAGTTAGCAGGTATGGAAGGAAGATTAATTTCTGCTTTTCACCAAAAAAAAAAAAAAAAAAAAAATGCAATGACATGGGAACAGGCAAAGCACTTGCAATGTGGCCCAAAGTTTTCAATATTGAGTGGCACATAGCACAAAGTTTTCCAAACTTCTGCGTTATGTGCTAAAAAAACACTGGAAAGGAGGGGCTGGCTGCTCTGCGTTACCTGCCAGCAGGAAAGCTCAACAGTGCTCCCAGAAGCCAGGCACTGGTCTCTGCCCAGAGCTGCCAACACCATCCCAAACACTTCACCAGGAGCAACAAACCAGTAAACGACAAAAACACTAGCAGTGCTGTTTTGAGAAAACTTCAGCCCCAGAGCAGAGCAAGGATTCAGGGAGGTGTAACAGAGGACCAGAAATAGCCTAAGGTCTATCTGTCCTGCCCCAGGAGCTTGGCTTTGCATGGGAATGAGGGTAAATGATCTGCAGAGCCAGGAGTGGTGAAACAGCACAACTGGATGTGCTTGCACAGCACTTGCCTTCAAACTGTATGTAAGCCACTGTAGGCTGTAATGGGGGGGCTGTCTCCCACTCGCTTCTGGAGAGGAGGAGTGGGGTCTCAGGACCATAACTGTAGTAAAATCCTGTAAATCTACCCTAAGGACTTGTTTCCTCCTCAGTGGAGAATATTCTAAGTCCTTTTTGTGACAGATGCCTAAGGCTGGCATCACTTATTCTTCTTTCAAGATTTGTTTCTCCACCAACCATTACAAAAAGTTCACTGACGGGATATTTACCTCACACTTTTCCCACAATAAAATAGAATCAGTAGAGAAGGGATTGTATTTGGGACACTGTATCTTTATTATAACCCAGCACGTGGCGAGGCCTTTGGGCACCTGCAAACAAGAACTCCTTAGAAATCCAAAGTGAAAAGTCACACAATAGAAAGGGAAGCACCTCAGAGTGAAACAACAACAACAACGAAATCTAACAGTCTCACTAAAGATTGAGGGGCAAGATGAAAACAGGTATGGAGATTGATGGTGCTACTGGAGTTACAGACAGGCTTCTCCATAAATACGGCAGGAGCTGAGCCACAGAGAGGCTGAAGACAGCCACGGGAGCCTGGGGCAAGAGGGATGGGAAAACGCAAAAGAAACCCTCAGAATACGGATACGACCATGGCACTGCGTGAACATAAAACAGAAGGGCACAGAGAAGAACATTTAAACTACCTGCAGGCGAGAGCGGCGTGAGAAAGCTCCGCTATTAGAAGAACCAGTTTCTGACTGTGTTAGACTGCCAGTTTTGAAAATGTGAAACTGGGGAAGTGCTGAAGAGACTTTAAAATCATACCACTGATGAGAAAAAGTCATTATGGTGTACTTATGCCAGTCTGATTTCAAATCCTAACAGCCTAATACCAAAGATAACATGAGGAGTCAACATCCCTGGAAGTGTTCAAGAAAAGAGTAAATGTGGCACTCAGTGACATGGCTTAGTGGGCATGATGGTGAAGGGTCAATAGTTGGACTAGATGATCTTGGAGGTCTTTTCCAACTGTAATTTTATAATTCTATGATCTTAACTTAATAGTGGCAAAGAAACGGCTTCTTTATTTTAGTATAACTGTAAGGCAAAGTTTTGATCACAGAATCACAGAGGAGTTTAAGTCAAATATGACAGCTTGTGATTTTTTAAATATGTGCCACAGGGGAATTTGGGCAGTGAATCTATTTAAAAAAAAAAAAAAAAAAAGTATGCCATTACAACATAACTAAGACTACTTCCAAGACAACAACAACAAAAAACAAGCACAGACTTAACTCTACATGGTAGACCAATAGGAGATTGTCAGTGACAAGAGTTCAGAAATCACTTTCAGCACTGGGGTTGCACAACCAGTGTTTATAGAAAGAACAGATCTGGTCACAGACAGGAAGAGCCATCTGTCACACTGCTCTGTCACCACTCTTCAAGTTCAGCCATCTGACCCCCAAAAAAACTGCTGCAGTACTCCAAGTCCAAGTGGTTCCAGTCAGAAGGTACGCTTACAACAAACTATGGAAAACACTGCAGATTCCAGCTCCAGCAAGGCTTCTTTTTCAGACTAAGGTTCAGTTGAAGAAAATCAGTGTGCAGACTGATAGACTGAGCAGCCTGATACTAGAAGTTACTCTGGAAACAGAACCAAGGAACCAAAGCCGAGCAGAAGGGAGAGGAAGCAAAGCAAGACCCGGCATATACAAAGCAACGGCTGTTAAAGAACACAGAACTGCTACAAGAATTCAGAATGACTGGGGAGATCGGTAAAACCGAGCTGAACTCAGAACACAGCCTGGAAGAAGCTGCGTGCCCCTCAGCAGAACCTGCTCCGACTCGCACACAACGAGCCGAACTCAGCGACAGCCTGCCTGCTCCCGAACAGCCGACCCGGAGAGCAGCACGCGTGCGAGGTGCGTTACAAAGTCGCGCAACAGGCTGGAACCGAAGCGCTTCCGAGGCAGCGCCCCGTGACCGGCCCCGCTAAGGGACCGCGGCCGCTCCGCCCGCGCCTCAGCCGGGCCGGGAAAACTCCGCCGCCGAGGAGCGGCCGCAGGTGAGGAGCTGAGGCGCGACCCCCGGGGCGGGACGGGCGGCCGCAGCCCCACCCGGGCCTACGGCCCCGCGACCCACCTTGAGGAGGATGGAGGGCGGCAGCTGGTTGATGTCGGGCGGCGGCGGCGGCTCCCGGCAGCCGTCTCCGGGCTGCTCCAGCGGCTCCTCGCGGCCCGCCTCGCCGCTCCGCTCCTTCCCTCCCTCCTGCTCCCTCTCGTCCGCGGCCCCGCCGCTCCCCGCGCCGTCGGCGGCCGAGGGCAGGGCGCGGGGCTGCGGCTCCGCGGGGCACTGGCAGGCGGCGGCTTCGGGCTCCGCCGCGCCGGCGGCGCAGCGCGGCTGCTTGCAGGGGGGGCAGGCGGGCAGGCCGGCCCCCTTGCGCTTGCACACCATCTCGGAGACGGCCTCGCCGGGCGGCCCGGCCGGCCCCAGGAGGCCTCGCACCGGCGAGGGCAGCAGGCCCGAGAGGAGGAGGCGCCGGCAGCGGCCGCGCGGCTCCCAGCAGGCGGCGGGCGGCAGGCGGAGGAGGCGGCGCGCGGCGCGCTGCTCGGCGGCGGCGAGGGCCGCGTAGGGCGGCGGCGGCGGGTCCCCGGCGGGCAGGGGCGGCTCCGGGGCGGGCGAGCTGGCGCCGTGCACGATGAAGCAGAGCATGCAGGGCCCGCGCAGGAAGCAGCTCCGGCTGCGCGGCGGCACCTTCCTCCCGCGGCGGCGGCGGCGGCGGCCGGCGCTGTCCCGGCTCAGGCTGCTGGCCTCCTTGGAGAGCAGGTGGCCCATATAGGAGGCGGCGGCGGCGGCGGCGGCGGAAGGGCCCGCGGGGCGTCACCTGCGGGCGGTGGCGGCCGCTGTCATGCTGCCGGAGGGGGCGGCAGGTGGCGGCGCCGGGGCGGCGGGGCTGGTTCCGGGACGCGGAGCCGGGAGGGAGACGCTTCCGCTACCGCCGCCCCGACCTTCCCCGCGGGACGCGAGGAGGCGGCGCTGCGGAGGGACCGCCGCCGCCCGGCGGTGCTGCCGCCAGCGGCCGGGCCGGGAGCCGCCGCCGGAGGGACGGCCGGGAAGGGCCCGGAGGCCCGGCGGCCTCCCTCGGCTGGAGCCGGGGCCTCCCGGAGCGGCCTGCGCAATCCCGGGCTGCCCCATCGCGTGCGGTGCGGCGCTGCGCCGCGTGTGCGCAGGTAGAGCGCGGGCGCGGTGACTGCGCGAGAGGCGGCTGTGAATACGCGCGTGCCGGCGGGAGCTGCGGGTGAAGTTGCCCTGCGGCCGCGCTGAGACGCTCCGGCCCCGCTCTGCTCCCGGGGGCGCGCGGCTGCGATGCGCGGGGCCCGGAGTAAGGCTGAAATTAATCTATTGGTCAGAGCCGGTGGGGAAGAGGACAGGAGTGCAGGCGAGACTTTTGCGGGCAGCGCAAGCTGAGAGACTGATGAGAGAGTTCACCTTTCAAAGCCGCCTCTTCTCTAACAGCGCCTTCTTCACAGCTACGCGCTCCAGCGCGTCCCGTTCCTGCTGCTTCGAATCGCTGACCAGCACCTTTGCCCCTGTGCTGTACTTTATTGCAGTTTCTCGGAGAGTGTACATCTTTGCAAATGTGGGCCGCGGCGCTCTAATTAGTACTGTCCGCAGCAAATTAATTTTCAGTGTTTCAGCATTCAGTTCTAAATTACTGTCGTAAAATGACTTGCACGTGTGGGTTTAAATATATGCAGGACTTTGCCTTCAGTAAAAGGTGTTCGGGGAGGGAAGAGACCAGCTGTAGTTAGGATATATGTGGTGCGGTGTCGGTATTTAGTAATGAAGGGCCACGGCAGAAGTGTGCAGCGCCAAGTACTGTGAACGAAATCTTTGGGCCTGTTGCCCAGGAAAATGTTGTGTGAGGATTAAAATACCTGTGGCACTAAATTCGTTTGATTCCTGTGTTATTAAACTTCAACCATTCAGTAGAAACGGGCTAGCCGAGAAGAATTGGAATTAGAAGATTACTGGATAAAAGTAGCATAATATTTTATCAGAATTTTTAACTCACTGACGTCCATCAATATAAATTGCAGCAGATTTTGGCAAAAATCTGGCAAGTCTATTCAACCCTCAGATTTAAATTTATTATTTTAATAAGAATGAATTCAGCTTGAAAAGGTCATGGCAGTTAAAGTCAAGCACTCAGGGTGCAGAAACAGCATTCAGGATAAATGCTTACAGCATCGAATATTCCAAGTAAATTAGCTGTGGCTGTGCCAATTGTGGCTTTGTCTTTACTTACATGATCACGTAACTGCAGTAATTTTGGGAAAGGTGGCTGACTTCTCTGTGTTGCTTATAGTCTTATAGTCCAATATTGTCCCATTATTTTAAACTATATACATACAATATATGTATACGTATAAATCACATATGGAGTTCTTCCTATTTCTGAAATATTTGCCTTGATATGATCCACTTCTTCTGCCTCCTTTTGAAATAAGTTGACTTGCCCAGAACGCAGACAGGAATTTTATCATCTCTTCTAGTCTTGCCTTTCCTAAGTAATTTCACCTTTGGATAATTTTTCCACATGATTCTTTTCCTTTTGAATCTTGTCCTTGAGCTTGGTCTGTTGCTGAAGGGGTTTGTTGCAATAGAGATTTTGGAATGCAAGAAAGAAAACAGATAATAAGTGGTAATTTTTCACAAGCTACTCATTCTTTTTGTACTCTATCACTTAGTAACAAGATTTTGGCCCTAAATATGGCAACAGAACTGTTCCACCAGTTTTATAGGCAGATATTAGAATCATAGAATCATTTAGGTTGGACATATAAGATCATTAAATCCAACTGTTAGCCTGGCACTGACAAGTCTACCACTAAACTATGTCGCCAAGCACCATATCCACACATCTTTTAAATACCTTCTGGGATGGTGAGTCCACCAATTTCTTGGGCAGCCTGCTCCAGCATTTTGTAATCTTTGTTGTGAAGAAATTTTTCCTGGCAGCGTATCTAAATCTCCCTGGTGCAGCTTGAGGCCATTAAATCTCAACCTATCACTGTTAAGTGGGAGAAGAGGCCAACCCCCACCTCACCACAAGCTCCTTTCAAGCAGTTGTGGAGTGTAATGAGGTTTCCTCTGAGCATCCTCTTCTCCAGGCTGAACAATCTCAGTTTTTTCAGCTGCTCCTCATAAGACTTGTGCTCCAGACTCCTCACCAGTTTTGTTGCCCTTCTCTGAACATGTTCCAGAGCCTCAATGTCTTTTTATAGTGAGAGGCCCAAAACTGAACACAGCGCTCAATATATGGCCTCATCAAAGCTGAGTACAAAGGGAGGATCACCTCCGTGCTCCTGCTCACTTGACTGATACAAGCCAGGATGCTGCTGGGCTCCTTGTCCACCTGGGCACACTACTGGTGCATGTTCAGCAGAGTGCTGACCAGCACCCCCAGGACCTTTTCCACTAGTGACCATTCCAGCCACTTTGCCCGCAGCCCGTAGCATTGCATGGGATTGTTGTGTGCAAGGTGACAGCTATGTCAGTAAATCCTTTCTGCTATTATTACAGTTAAAGGTCTGAAGGTTTTAAGTAAGAAAAAGCATACTCCCACTTTTCTTTCACTTGACAGAGCCATGTTTCCAAACCTAAGTGTATATCAAGATATAGAAATAAAGAAAAAAATACTATTATTTCATAAAAGAGTGTTTGCGTGATCATTTATTTGGGAACTATTAATGAATTACTCACAAGATACATACATCAGGCAAGAGGGCTTGTCTAGGTTATATTTAAGGGTCCTGTTCAGTGGTTTTATGATTCTAAAACACATGAGAAAATATATGACTGTCTGGAGGTGGTATTTGATGGGCAAAGCAAGAATCTCCATGCCCATACTTGAATATGCATGCCATGTTAGCTGGTGTATGGATAATTTATTTGAAAATTCAAAGAAACTATAGTATGTTAATCTCAACTGAAGATAATGAATTGCTGAGACTATTAATTACCTATAATGCTTTTCTACTCACGAGACTTCTGAGTACCTTGAACACAAGAAACTGGGAGAGGGATTTTTTTAAAACTTTTTCTTAAGAACTTTTCCTTCCCCATCCCCTCTGCCAAAAAGCCAAGCTATAAGGAGAAATACTTGAAGATTTAAAAAGTACAAAGGGCATGGCAATATTCAAAAAAAGAGCAGGTAACAAATTGTTCAATTAATCTGATTCAAATTCTGCCAAGTATCTGTCAAGTGAGCTTTTTTAATATTTTTTCTAATTTTAAAAATTTTGCATAAAGCATGTATAAAACATGGGTGAGTGTGTTCCTAACAGCACTTCAGAACTACTCAGAGAAGCATTTCCTGCATGATTAGTATTATGTCTGCAGTCATCATGTTCGTTAACAGTTTAAGAGGTTATACAAGATCTCAGTGGGATAGAATTAACTTCTTTCACAGCACCCTGTATAATGTTATATGTTGGGTTTGTGAATAAAACAGTGCTGCTAGCACCCCAGGGCTCTGGCTGTTTCTCAGTAGTGCTCGCAAAGACTCTCTATTTCTCACTCTGAGCAAGTAGTCTGGGTAGGAACATAGCTGAGATGGCTTACCCAAGTAGGACAGAGGGATATTCCATTCCATATAACTTCATGCTCAGCATTAACAACCCAGGGATCTTTCAAGTTAGCCTTTCAACAGAGACTTGCTGGGGCATGGGTCTGCTTGTGGGCGATGGAGAGCAATTGCCTTTGTATCTTTTGTTTGATTTTCTGGGTTGTTTTGTTTTGTTTTCTTTATTTCTGGGTTGTTTGGTTTTCTTTATTTGTTTCTTTGCCTGTTTCCCTCTTTTCTTCACTTATTGTACTGAAGAACAACAATTTTCATTGTTGGTCTTCCTGTTCTCTCCTGTCTCCCAGGGGATGGAGCCAGTTCTGCTGGCTGAGTGCAATCCACATCAGAAGTAAAACATACATTCAATATCAGTAAAACGACAGGTAGTACTAAGAATTGTGACATAATGACAAATGAAAGCAGAACAGTCAGAAAAAAATGTCATATGAATTACCAGTTAATTTTTGAAGTACAGAAAAAAACACATTTTTTTTTTTTCTTCAGATTTACATTAAGACAGATTTATTCACTGATTCACAGAATCATAATGTTTGGAAAAGACCTCTAAGATCATCTAGTCCAACCATCCACCCATCTCCACCATATCCCTCAGTGCCACTACCATACATAGCACCTCCAGAGACAGTGACTCAGCCACCACGATGGGCAGCCTGTTCCAATCAATTTCTTCTCTTTTTGAGAATAAATTTTTCCTCATATTTAACCTCAATCTCCTCCAGTGAGACTTGGGTGCATTCCCTTTCATCCTATTACTAGTTACATGCGGAAAAAGTCCAACCTTCACCTCCCCACAACCTTCTTTCAGGTAGTTGTAGGGAGCTATCGATAAGCTCTTCCCTGAGCCTCCTCCAGACTAAAAAATAACAGTTCCCTCAGCCACTCCTCACAGGACTTGTGCTTCAGACTCTCCACAGCTTCATTACACTTCTCTGGACTTGCTCCAGAGCCCCAGTGTCTTTATAGTCTTTATCTGTGAACATGCCTCTTGTTTTTATTGTCTCTCAATTTTCTGGATCTCTATGAATTCTTCCTTGGATAAATGTCTTCAGAAATGTTAATTGAATATGTTAGTAATTTTTCACTCTAGAAGATGACAGGTTGAAAACCAGTAGCAACTCAGGTGGCAGAATATCTTTTGATTATGGCGGTATGACTCTATCATTTTCTTACTTTTTTTAATCCTCACAAAACAAGGATCTCTCA